ATCAAGGTGCAGGCTGATTCAGTTTGTGATGAAAGCTCTCTTTCTGGTTTTCAGCAGTCACCTTCTCACGGTCATCTCCTCTTTGTTCACAAGCAAGGAGGGAGGGAGAGAGGGAGAGACAGAGACAGAGACAGAGAATAAGGAAGAGAGAGAAACTCTCTGATGTCTTTACTTGTAAGAGCACTAATCCCGTCCTGAGGTCTCCATCACGATCTCCTCTAACCCTAATGTCTTGCCAAAGGCCCCATCTTCAAACACCATCACATGGAAGGTTAAGACTCCAACATATGAATTCTGGGGCAATGCAAGCATTCAGTCCTCTACAACATAGAGACAGAACTGATCAAGCGGCAAACAGGGATAGCTCATCTGTTGTCATTTTGACATCACCACTACCCATTTTAAAATTAAAAAAAAATTTTGATGTTTATTCATTTGTGTGAGAGAGAGAGACACAGAGTGTGAGTGGGGGAGAGACAGAGAAAGAGGGAGGCACAGAGTCTGAAGCAGTCTCCAGACTCTGAGCTATCAGCTCAGAGCCTGATGTGGGGCTCAAACTCACAAATCCTGAGATCGTGACCTGAGCCGAAGTCAGACACGTAACCGATTGAGCCACGGAGGTGCCCTACCACCATCCCTCTAACTCGTCTTCTGCTTCACAGAGCAAAATATGGGAATCACATTTCCCTTAATCACCTTCCTTCTATGGGTTGGAGTTTGTCAATGGAAGTACTTGTCAGAGATTTGGAAGGTGGGAGAGCAGCCTTACACTCTGGAGGCAGCTGAAGGGCCCATGGGTGGGTTAGAGATTTGGAGTGACTTCTTGTCAGGGTCTTGGGAACCCTTACTCTGTTGGTGAAGACTGAGATGATTGGTGGGAGTTTCTCAGAGAATTTTTAGGATCTCAGCAGCTTCTTGTGGACTCTTGAGCAAACTCATTCTGGAGCTTTTGGCTGTGAACACAGGGTTAGCTTCCTTTCACTTGAATCAGTGGAAAGACTAGGACATAACTGCTCACAGCAACATTATTCACTTGGCCAAAATGTAGAAAAATCCTGTATGTCATCAACTGATGAATGAGAAACTGTATGTGACTTATCCCTACCAAGGACTGAGTGCCCATATACGCTACCACGTGGATGAACCTGAACAATTATTATGTTAAGTGACTGAAGCCAGAAAAAATGGCCATTGATTGTATGATTCAGTTCATATGAAATATCCAGAAGGGAGAAGTCATTAGTGGTTGCCAAAGGCTTCAGGCAAAGGGAAATGAGGAGAGATTGGATGTAGGGTTTCTTTCTAAGGTGACGAAAATGTTCTGGAATTAGAGGTGATGGTTGCAGAGCTTTGTGAATACCCTAAAAACCACTGAAGTACAGACTTTAAAATTTATGACATGTGAATTATACCTCAATTTTTAAATTGGACAAAAATAAATCCTTAGTCTTAAACAGTATTTCTTCATTTTAGAAAGGAAGAAAATGATCACTGTCTTAACTTAGCTAATTGGAAAAAGAGCACAATGGCAATTTTGAGGAAATAAGAGGAATAAAATTATACATATGAAAACTTAATAACAGGAAATAAAAACAGTAACATCTACAAAGTAATCTCAAAACTGCTTTAGTGATGCAAAAAATAAGGAGGGGAAGAAAAACAGGAAGGACATCTTGTGGCATGTGTAATCAACAAAATCAAAGAACGTGTGTAGTCAGAACATGTGATTATAACAGATATGAACGCTTTAATTATTAAAGGTACATTCTAGGGGCGCCTGGGTGGCTTGGTCGGTTAAGCATCCGACTTCGGCTCAGGTCATGATCTCACGGTCTGTGAGTTTGAGCCCTGCGTCGGACTCTGTGCTGACCGCTCAGAGCCTGGAGCCTGTTTCAGATTCTGTGTCTCCCTCTCTCTCTGCCCCTCCCCTGTTCATGCTCTGTCTCTCTCTGTATCAAAAATAAATAAACGTTAAAAAAAATTTTTTTAAAAAAAGGTACATTCTAATTGCAGGACTTTATGCTAATACATATTCCGTGAAATAGGTAACTTCCTGGAAAAAAACTAACCAAAACAATAGAACAGATTCAAGAACCATGGAAGAATTTGAATCTTCAACATTCATGGGAAAACAATTTCCAAGTTCGAAGAATTTGTCCCAATAATGAATTTGTCACGTAGTTTTGTAGATAATTTCTTAACACTTAAAGACACAGAAATTCCTTTGTTCTGTTTATGTGCTGATGGCCAGTGTTTTAACATAGGGATGTCCCCACAAAATCCAGATTCCTGGTTACTCTCGAAAAATGAAAAGATCGGGGCGCCTGGGTGGCGCAGTCGGTTAAGCGTCCGACTTCAGCCAGGTAACGATCTCGCGGTCCGTGAGTTCGAGCCCTGCGTCAGGCTCTGGGCTGATGGCTCAGAGCCTGGAACCTGTTTCCGATCCTGTGTCTCCCTCTCTCTCTGCCCCTCCCCCGTTCATGCTCTGTCTCTCTCTGTCCCATAAATAAATAAAGGTTGAAAAAAAAATTAAAAAAAAAGAAAAATGAAAAGATCTGAAACCACAGAGCCAACATCTTGCATGAGGGCAGTGGGC